GGATGAAACAGAAGCTGGTGAGGCCTGACACTGCTTGGTGACTGCTGGGGCAGCCAGGAGGCCAAGGTGGTGGAGAGACCTGTCCCAGCACCCTGACCACACCGGAGCAACCACCTGGGCCTGCCCTGATCGTGCGGGGGCTGCTGCCTGCCATGCCAAGCCGCGCAATTAGTTGTAACCTGCTGACGCTCGTCATGACCCAGACCTCTGCCAGGAAGCCCCAGCATGTCTTTATCAACACTGTTAATTTGTATTTCCTCTTCACCTTTCCCTCCCTTTACAGGTCTCGGTAGCAGTACAGTCCCAGCACCAGAAAGGTCTGTTTTGACAGCAGAGCAGCACTTCAGCCATGGCCAGGATGCAGATGCACCGGTGGGGCCGCTTTATTGCCCCTATGTGAGATGTGGGTTGAACCACGATGCCCTGGACAGGCTCTTACGGTGCTTGCCCATGCTGTGTTTAGCAGCGTTGCCCAACGCAGCCCACCAGCGACTTCTGCGGAGCCTGGCTGGCTGCACAGGGCTCTGCCCACGCTTCCCTTCATACCCCAAGTCCCTTGCCCCTAAAGTTCTCAAGTTACCTCAGAAGAGAGCAGAGCAAGGCGTTATTGGGGGTGGGGTGAGCGGCGAAGCAGCCGGGAGAGCCAGCTTAGTCACTTGGAGCCACAAGGATTCGGGCCAAGCCCGGCTGCAGACTCTTGCTCTTGTTCGACTTGGAATTTTCCCCAGAAAATCTAGTGGGATTTTATGTGAGGGAGATCAAAACATCACGTGTTACTTCCTCGCCTCGCACGTGCACGAGCCAGCACTGCGGCCTCCAGAAGCTGTTGTCTCAAGTCTCCCGGGCCCTTGTTTCTCCTATGGGCCCATGCTGCTCCAAAAACACTGATTTTGCATTTTCAGTCATCTTCTGAGGTGCCATTTTTGTGGCTCTGCCCAGTTTTGGCAATAGCATTTCTGGGAGCGAGGTGCCGTGTCCGGCCACATATTCGTTCAGCGCTGGTGCTTGCTGGAGCTCTGCCCTTGCAGCCCGGGACCAGATCCCTGTGGATCCTTGTGTGCTATGTACGATCTGGAGCAGCCTGAGGGGTGAGGGCGCAGGGTAAACACTTGCCAATGTTGTAGGACATTGGTATTAGCTAAGTGGCCTCTGAGCGCTGGGGCATTGGTGCAGACACGTGCCGCAGACAGGACACGTCCTGCTGCTACAATGTGCATGCTCGAGCGGATTTGTGTTTTGAAAGGCAGCGAGGTGGGACCTTTCCTTGTGACTTACAAGGGCTCAGTCAGCGCTAATTACAGCATGTGGTGGGGACGGATGCAAGTGGCTGGCACGTCCGGGAGGCAGGAGTAAACAGTGGCGCATTGATCAGTCGCTGGGGCAGCAACGCCGGCACGCGGGAAGACCCAAAGAGTCTCAGCCAATAATGTCCCCTTGGGACAGGGACCTGCCAGGCCTGGGGTCTGGCCTGCCTGGTGGGCTGGGGTGGTCAGGAGGCCGTGAATTTTGGCAGAATCTGATTATCTGCTAGCGCTCATGTGAAGTCCCACTTTTTTTCTTATTGACCTGAGTGCTGTACTTGGCCCCTGTGCTGCTCGCTGAGGTACAAGCTAATGCACATGGCACAGGACTGCTCTCCTGGCCTTGTTCTTTTAAAATATATCTTCTGTCACCTCTGTCTGCCTAGAAGAGATGAAACCCAGATTTGATGTGGTTGTGCCTCCTGCAGGCCTAACAACCTCAAAGAGATGGGCTTTCTGGGACTCATGCATATCTGCCCAGGTCTCATTTGGCTCACAGGCATAAACGCAGTTGTCAGTGCTGAGGTCAGTATAGGAACTTCTTAAATTGCTTGGATTTGCATTGCGAGTTTTCCTGCCTCATCATGTTGCACGTGAGATGGATTTCCTCCCTTGGCAGATGAAGCCAAGAGAGGACATTCCTCATGAGGGCACCTGCGCTGCGTGATCCCAAGCAGGCACAGGAACTCATAATCAGTGCTTGTCCCTCACTAGCCACGTGGCTTCTGGCCATCTAGCTCATGCACAAGGGTCTGTCAGTGCCTGCCATGGCCTCTTGCCATCTAACCATGTCCTGTCCCCAGGACAGAAGCCGCTGTTGAGTCCACCTCTCACCTCGGACACTCATCTCCCAGCCAGCTCTTGGTTGCCACAGAGGCATTGCTTCCACAAGCCTCAGGTGGCTGCTGGCAGCAAGGCCGTGACAGCACAGGCCACAGCCGTGTCTCTGCATGCTCCCTAGTGTGACCAGGCGGTTCGACAGGGCCCTGCAAGATCAAGCGCGGGGATGCTAATGATGCCATCGGCTTCCAGCAATTTGGGTCTCTCTCTCTCATCAGGGT